TTAAAGGTTGTTGGTTATGTGAATGTTTACATTTACTTACTGAATGACACACTTAAGGTCTGTGGATTTCATTGTATGTAAATTTTACCTAAATAAAAATAATTAAAAATTTCATTGAATCAATGATTTCAGATTTCCTATAAATAACAATTATTAAGATTATAGATTTTAAGATTATTAATTTCTTGATTACTCACATCTGCTTTTATCTTATTATGAAGTTTCCCTGTCACATTTACTCTTTGTGGTTTTGTTTGAGCAGTGAATGGGGTTCTTCCTTGGAGAATATTTTCACCCAAAATGGGACTCTGGTATCAAATTACCAATTAGAAATTGAGATAAAACAAAATAATCTAATTTTAGGAGCCAAAAAATTGGTATTTATTTGAAACATTTGTAAAATATCTGAAAAAAAAAAAGCCGTTTTAACTAAATAAACCTTACTACCCACAAGCACTGGGTAGGAGGTAAGATAAAGTCATGAAAATTGTCATCAAAAAATGGTTACAAGTTCAGAGCAGCTATTTTAAAGTAGGCATTCCTTTCCTACTCTGCCCCTAATCTTCTGGTCTATTAAACTCAGCAATCTTATATAAGGGTCCAGAGACTTTTTCTATGTCAGTAATAATTCTGTCCATGGTTCTATTTTATTGTATGCGGAAAGGGATCCAAAGAAGATGGGATAGGTCTGTAAGAACCACAAAGTGGACTCATTCTCCTTGGGTCTAAAGAACAGAATGGATGGTGTGGCCAGTTGTAAAACTCTGTTCCATTGCTTGGCTCAGGCTGGGGAAGAAGGTTGGGTGAGTAGTGATGCAAACAAAATCAACCACTGAATAATGTTTTCCCTACTGAGTATCAGTCAGTGCTTAGAAGACTCTGCATGCTCTGTCCTCTTCTTTCCTTGCTTGTTCGGCTTCAGCCACATTGGCCTGTGATCCCACAACAGGCCAGTTTTGTAGTTAAAACTGAACACCTCTCCTTATCTGACACCCCTTACTCCCCTTCTCTCCTTCATATTATTCCATAGCACTATCATCTCGTATTTTATATTATTTACTTGTTTAGTTTATTGTTTTTCTTCTCATACTAGAATGCGAATTTCACAATGGTAAGCACTGCTTTAGTGCTCAGAACAGTGCCTGGCACAAAATCAGTGATCAGTATTTATTGAATGATGGAGTGAATCAAATACAGAGGTGAGAGAGACTCTAAGCTCTCAATCCAGACTGTCCAGGTTTGAAAGCTGGCTCTGCTAGTCCCTGGCTGTGTGACCTTGAGCAATTCACTTAACCTCTCTGTTCCTAAGTAGAATGAATACCTACTTCATAGGAGTGTTTTGCAGATGAAATGAGTTAATACTGTAAGGCATTTAGTACAGTACCAGCATGTTTAAGTGTGCAACAAATATTAATTGTTGCTGATATGTCTAAGGATAACTTTTCTTGTTCAGGCACTCTTCAAGGTCTTGTGTACTGTTATAAGAGAATTTAAAACTAGAACTCTAACCCTCAAAGAATTTATAATTGAATTTTTATATGGTTCCTTTTCCCCCAGAAAGCTCTTTCACACGTCAGCCCTTTTCACATATTGAATTTCAGTTTATTCTTTAAAAGCCAGCTCAAATGAGATCTCCTTGGTGAGGCCACCCCATCTCTAGGTGAAGTAAGCTCTCTTTGCTCTGAATGCAAGGCATTCATTTATTCATTTGTTTGTTCTGCAAACATGTTTTGAACAAAGATGTAATCATGGGCCAGATTAGCTGCTAGGGCTATTGAGAAGACTAAGACATGAGCCTTGACGATGAGGGGTATGTATTTTGTTAGCAAATGCAGACATACACAGAAAAAAGGGCAGAAAAGTGTCATGAGTTCACTAGCCGGTAGGCTGCTAATGTGTTTACATCTCTGTCCCATCTTCTGGATTGTGAGCTCCTGTGTACAGAATCTCCACATTTCAGTTATTCTTTGTATCACAAATCCCTCTACAGTGCTTCTCTGGCACATGGTATGTACTTAAACATGTTCATTGAAATGATTGACATGATAGAGGGAAACAAGGAATGCACAAGAGAGACTATTAAAAGAAATAATGATGATGGGACTGATACTAAAAGCTAATACTTACTGAGTACTTATTATGGGGTCAGTTACCATTCTAAATACTTCACATATTTTATTTTAGTTTCATTTATATAACAACAGAAATAGCGAGTTATTATGATCTGTTTTCTGTGGATAAGGAGACAGGCTCAGAGAAGCTAAGCAACTTGTCCAGGTACAGAGCCATGATTATAACGCAGGACTGTTTGCTTCCAAAGACTACTTTTTAAAAAATATTTCATTTGTTTATTTTAGAGAGGTGGGGGTGAGGAGGGGCAGAGGGAGAGAGAGAGAATTTCAAGCAGACTCCTCGCTGAGCTTGGAACCCGACGTGGGGCTCGATCCCACAATCCATGAGATCATGACCTGAGCTGAAATCAAGCATTGGACCCTTAAGCAACTGAGCCACCCAGGCACCTCCCAAAGACTATTTTTGCCCACTACTCCATACATGAGTAAGATGCTGGCTGGTAACATTGTAGAAACCTTTTGTGGTCAGCTACTTGTATCTGAGTATTTGGTATTTCTTCTCCAGCTATTTTTCTTTCTTCAAACTCTACGGACACAATTATGGAGATAAAAGTTGTGGACCGGTGGCTCCAGGGAGTCATGTTTCAATTAGCAAAGTTGAAGCCAGTGTGGTCAGCTCTCTGGATTCTGATATACCTACTCTCTCCTTTTTCTTCTTCTTCTTCTTTTTTTTTTTTTAGTGCAGTTTAAAATGTGCTGATAGAGAATTGGACTGCTGACGGTAGCACCAACCTACCCATCAAAAAGAAGGAGGCAGTGGGGAACAGTTAGGAAGAACATAAAGATATTCCTTTCCATTTTTTAAAAGTCTTTACTGGCAGAGAGAGAGAGAGAGCTAGAAAGATAGGAGATGGTCCAAGGGGGCTTTGCATTTCATGACTTTAAAGGTACTTAGTATGGGGCAAAAAGTTATTTTTCTTTTTTAGCTTCTCTAAATAAGGATAGACAGATCATCTTAGAAACAAAAGATGATTCTATTTTAGTATCTGATGCAACGTACGGCTTAGAAATTGTTATATACTCTGCTATGTTTCATTGAATACCTATGTAGTCAGAACTTCTCAGGGGACACACAAAATCATGTAAGTTCAATGTTCACAATTAGGTAAAATCCCCAATTTTTCCTATCAGATGAAGTAGTCTGAATGACAGCTTGAGATTGTTTTAGCAGGCTTACCTTAAGAACAGTTTGATTGCAAGATTCGAGCATACTTTATTAGGATGGCGATCTGCTTGAGGAATCCGTATACATAGAACAAAATAAACATCTTCAAGGATTTTTTTTGGAACAAAATTCAACTAGATCTGTTAAATTAGCAAGGAACAGAAATGGTAACATAACATTTTAAGCAACTTGAAGAATGGGTTTACTTTGAGGCAAATGTATGATAACTTACTTCTTCAGCCCCAACACGGACAAAAGAGATCAATGAATTTAAGCCATATTCTAAAAGTCAGCTTAAAATTATGTTCATATTGTGATTTTCTCTAAGAAAATCCATATAGATCAATTTTAGCTGAATTATTATAAAAGGACTAATGTGATAACATTAAATGAAATGGCAAAGACACTCAGGGTAAAATTAGATAATGTCTGATATAGTGACTTACAGAACATCAGGATTGCTAGTAAGTTAGAACTGATATTGTTGTATTGATGGTCTACTTTTTTAATAGCAAATCTTAAGGAATTAATTTCCTTCAATGTCCCAAATTCCACATTAAACAATTGATGTGGGGTCTATGTTCAGAGACTGTTGCACTTATGTTTGCAGATACAATAGTAATTTTGTTCTTAAATATTGGCTGTAAAAGTTGAATTACATAGGCTTATATTAAATCCAGTTTGTAATACAGTTTGTGTAGTTAAACTCTGATTTTTGACTCTGATTTTGAGATTCCCATGACCCTTTCTCCCATACTCAATTGATAATATTACCATATTGCTTTCCACTTAGCTTATCATTCTTGGAGCAGAACTATTTTAATCATTAATTATGCTAGAATGCAAGTAGCATGATAATAAGAAAGGAAACATGGTATGGCTTCAGTGTCAGAACAGAATAGGCATTCAGTAATATCTGCTGAATGAGTGAATGATAACTTGATAGTGCATCTTAATATCTGGTCATCATAATCATTATACTAATCAGCATTTATTGAGTACTTACTATATCTTAGATGCAACATTTTTTGCTTTTTATACATTATTTAATTCTCATAAAAACTGAAGATTAGAGAGTTTTAAGTACCTTGTCCAAGTTCAGGCAGCCAGCAAGTGATAAACTCAAACCCAGCTTGCTCTTTCTTTGGGTCTTGTGGAAGCTGCTCTTTTTCCTTTGTTCAGCAGTATTTCCCCCCCCCCCCACCCCCTTTTTGTTCATCCTCACACAAGGAGTGAACTCTGCAGACTGGACATTGTTAGTGGAGAGGGCAAGTGGATTGTTCTGGGCTTTGCTCTCCAGTCCCACGTGTGGGGTCTGGTCTCCTCTTCAGCTCCAGGGCTGTGAGGTGGATTTTAATGGACACTGAGTCATCCTTGAAATAAGCACTTACTAGTGCCTCCTGATCTACAAACATCCCCCCTTCCTCCTTCCTCTCCTGCAGATTTATTTGTGTCCTGAGCACAGGCCTTACAAGCAATGTGATCTTTTCTGAGCCCTCATCAGTACATTCCTAAGATTGAAGGGAGATGCTGTAATAGAACAGCTTGGCAAATACCGTTTTGATTGGAAGTCTCTTTGACTTTGCATTTTTAATTGTACCAACAACACTGTACTTGAGTGACTTAGAAAATGTTTATACCTTGGCCCAGTTGATGGCCTTATTTACTAAACAGCATTTTTTTTTTTAAAGATTTTATTTATTTTTTAGAGAGCGAGCAAGAGAGAAACAGCATGAGAGGGGAGAGGGTCAGAGGGAGAAGCAGGCTCCCCACTGAGCCCGGAGCCCGATGTGGGACTCGATCCCAGGATCCTGGGATCATGACCTGAGCCGAAGGCAGACGCTTAACCATCTGAGCCACCCAGGCGCCCTACTAAACAGCATTTAAAAGTTAGATTAAAATTCACAGACTCTTCTATTCTGTCTCTGTCCTTGGCCCTTTGCACCAAACCAAACCAAACCAAACCAAACCAATCAAGCTTCATAAAAAAGACCAGGTTTGGATTTTGAATCTAGAATGCTTCGAACCAAGGGGAATTACTTATTTTCTCACTTTCAGTGCGTCTGTTTATGGGTACCAGATTCCAATGCCATTAGTTCGAAAGTGTGTTCTCACACGTGTTTACTCACTTGATTGCCAGAGCACAAGGTATCAAATGTCGAGGAGACTGCTTAGGGTTACAGGACCCAGGACACCATCACAGCTTCTTGTCTTTTGTCTCAGGGCCTGAGAAAAACCTTCTCAAGACAGTGTCCTCTAGCTCTTAAATTATCATATTAGTGGTACCTAAGTATTCAGAACAAGCATCAAAATGTGCTACGAAACTGTTCACTTCAATACACTCTCAAGAAATGAATAGTAAAGTTTCTAGGCTGTTTAATAGCCTCATTACTTGGAATAACACTCCATTCCCCATTAAGGGACAAATTAGTATGACTCTCCTCTGCTCAACTTTTTTCACCTTAAAATGGAAAACATTTAATTTTAGGTAGAGTTCTTGTTTCACAGGTTTTTCCTCCAGCTTGGATGCTGCTGTCAAGCTTACCTCTGCGTTGACCTGTAAAGACTGAAAAGCAGGTGGATAATAGACTTGCTGCATAGACTCCGAAGCATGTCTCAGCTCTGCCAGGATTGCTGACTTAGCACTCCCTCCCTCCACCTCTTTGCCTTTTCACTTGCTGCAAGAAAAGAAGTCCAGAGTCTCCTACCTCAAACAGACTTTTTGAAAAGGATGCGGAAACAAGAGCCTGTTGCCAGTGGGAGCAAGACCCGCCAGTCCTGTTAACCACCGTGGTGGCTGGCCGGGACTGCCCGATGGTGACAGACATGATTGACAGAGCTGGGCCTAACTTGGTGTGAAGGCCAAGGGCTCCAGGCCGATGAAACACCTCTGGAAATGTGCCCAGTGGAAACACAGAGCGGCATGGGTTTCATGCCAAAGACATTCGGGAATGGGTCCAAAAACATCTTCTGCAAGAGGAAATGAAAGAGGAAATAACTTGTTATTCCAAAGGGGTGAGAGGGCTGGGGTGGGAGTTGAAAGAAGGGTTGAAAAGAATGAAAGAGAAGTGAGCTGTGAAGGTGAGGATATGCCGAAGAGGGGAAGTGAGCCGTTGGAGCTGGAAGTTTTAATACGCTCACAAAGATAAGGAGGAAGTAGGGACTGTTTGGAAGGTAAACACACCATTATGGAAAGGGCAGCCTTGCCAAGAATAACAAAGGCGAGATAATTAAAGGAAAAGGCTAACAGAAATGTGAGGAAAAAGAGAAAACGCTGAACAGGTCTTCAACATAAGAACATTCCAACTCAGCATTTCATAACTGACAACATCAACAGGAAAAGGAAAGAAATGCATTCTGCAGCGACGCACACAGATATCCTACCCTGTGCTATCCGTGTTATCTCTCCGTTTTTTGTTGACTCAGGTAGAGTGGGATACACTGGGTGGGGTGAGAATTACAACCTCACTTGTTTATCTCTCTGGATCCAGTATGTTTTGGGTATTTGTCAGAAGGCCACGATCCCAGGATGCCTCATTAGCTTCCTAAATTCTATTATTTTGCAGTGTTAATATCTGTGATTTAGGAGGCTCTAAAACTGAGTCATACGCCTCCTGTATACGAAAGATTTTCTAGAGCTCCTTTCGTGCTAGTTAGTGGAGCCCCCGACAAAACGATTTTAAAAGATGATCAAGCTTATTAAGCGGTGTACTAATCCACACACAACATCACATGGCTTGGTACTCTACCCCCTTCTATGCTGTACATGGTTAATGTCCCACTCAAATTTGTGTTCTCTTTTAGCTCTTGAGCATTCCACAGCTTTCTTTCTAGAGATGAATAAAATGTTCAGAAGACCGGATATACAAAGAGGGAGTTACAGAGACCATAGGCAAATAAAAATAATACCTATTTCTTAAAACAGAGATCCAAATTAGACTTCTCATTTGGTCAAATGAAAGCAATGTTGGGGGTCTCCTGCCTCAATTATTACCAAAAATAATATTTATATATAATTTCATTTATTTTATTTTTTTAAAGATTTTATTTATTTGAGAGACAGAGAGAGACAGAGAGACAGAGAGAGCACGAGTAGGAGCGGCAGAGGGAGAGGGAGGAGCAGAAGCCATGCATCGAGCACGGAGCCCGATGCAGGACTTGATCCCAGGACCCTGGGATCATGACCTGAGCTGAAGGCAGACGCTTAACTGACTGAGCCACCCAGTAGCCCCTATAACTTCTCAATTATTACCAAAAAGAATATTTATATATAACTTCAATTATTGAAAAGAGTATAAAAAATGACCAGTAAATATATATTTTTCTTTGTCACAAAATTTACTAAATCTAATTTCACTTTAATGCTTCTCTTTAATGCAATTTTCCCAAGGGTTGTTTTATGTATGTATGTATGTATGTATGTATGTATGTATAGTGGACATGCAATGTTATATTAGTTTCAGGTGTACAACATAGAAATTCGACAAGTTTATATTATACTCTGCTCACCCCAAGTGTAGCTACCATAAACTGTCGCTATTTGCAGATGACATGATAACATACATAGAAAATCCTAAAGACTCCATCAAAAAACTATTAGAAGCAATAAATTAATTCAGTACAGTTGCAGGATACAAAATTAATACCCAGACATGGTAGCGTGCCTATGTACTAATAATGAAGTAGCAGAAGGAGAAATTAAGGAAACAATTCCATTTACAGTTGCACCAAAAAATAAAATACCTAGGACTAAACTTAACCAAAGGTTGTTTTATATGTATTTAGATTTATAATACCTGGTCATGCCACTCCAAAAATGTGTATCAGTATGTAAAACCTTAGGAATAATAGGTGACTAAACTTACTAACCCTTGCTTTATTTCCTCTCTTTGTTAAGTTTAATTTCATTTGGTGTTTTAAAAATGTTTTCACAAAGTTTTCTTTTTCTTATAGTACACAACATTGTTCACACAGCAATTCATAAGGTCTTAAAATCTTGACATATTTCTCTTCTTTTGCTGGGAGCAATTGGTGAGAAATAAAATAAAATAGAAACCTTAACCTTGGTTCTTTTACCACCATAGAAGCCTGATAATTTAGCAATATTATCTGTAAATTAATTAAAATATAAAATTTAAATTTAAAGAACCAAGAAAGATGACATCTGAACTGGCAATCTTTTTTAAAGGCAGGAGATCTATTTGGTTATCAGACAAGCAGGTGTACTGGAGGCCCAGAGCTAGTATCCAGACCTGGCTTTGTCCCAGACTACCTGTGAGTCAAAAGGGACAAGCCAAATGAGAAAGGAGAAAGAGGGCTGCCTTCTAGTGAGGCTAGGGAGATGCACATAAGGAAAAAAAGGAGAACAAGTTACACAAGAACGCTAAAAACTGAAGCAGAGTTGATGCAGACCCACCAGGAGAAAGAAATACTGAAGAAAACCTGGAATCCAGTTAAAGCAAACAGAAGAAAAGCCAGCTGTATTTCTGTGTGTCAGTGTCCAGAAAGGATAGCCTAGCTTTTCATGAAGACTCTCAATGGGATTGTTGCTGGATTTTGGAATTGAGAATGTGGCTCTTAACCACCGGGCCAGACTAATGCTACTAGAATTTGATTCGTCTGGTTTATTGGTGCCCCCAGGAAAAGGCTGTTTACTTTATAATTTTTATTTGTATTTTTTTTAAAAAAAACACTTGTTCTAGGGTAATTCTTACTACATTCGAGGCCAGCATGTATATATTTGATTTCTATTTTTGATATATATAACTTGAACTGTGATCTCAAAGAATTAAAAACCCCTTTTCAACACACTTCAAAAATATAAGCTAGCCCTCAATTCTTTATGGTATTGGAGTGGAGTAGGTCTGGAACAATTGAAATATGGAATACCTGGGAGTTTCAGATGTATGAAGAGCCTGAAAAATGGAATCTCCTAAATTGGTATCACAGCTCTTACTAGAAGGATGGGGAGTAGAGACTAACAAAGTGACACAACAGACACACAGTACAACCCATAAAGCACCAATGGAAAACTGAAGTTTGAATCGAATATTCTTGACTACTCACTTCCTTCTATATTTTAGAAAAGGTTGTGTCTGCCTTCAGCTCAGGTCGTGATCTTGGGGTCCTGGGGTTGAGCCCCAAGTCGGGCTCAGCAGGGAGTCTCTTTCCTTCCTCTGCCTCTGCCCCTCCCCCACTGTTCGTGTGCTCTCTCTCAAGTAAATGGATAAAATCTTTTTTAAAAAATAGAAAAGGTTGGGGCACCTGGGTGGCTCAGTTGGTTAAGCGACTGCCTTTGGCTCAGGTCATGATCCTGGAGTCCCAGGATTGAGTCCCACATCAGGCTCCCTGCTCAGCGGGGAGTCTGCTTCTCCCTCTGACCCTCGCCCCTCTCATGCTCTCTCTCTCTCTCATTCTCTCTCTCAAATAAATAAATAAAATCTTTAAAAAAAAATAGAAAAGGTTGCTTTAAGCTCACTCAGGACAGGCGACTTATTCACTGTTGTGCTTCATTCCTAATTTCAACATCTAGCTTATTTTTTTTGCACACAGTAGGGGCTCAATTTGTTTGATATATCAAATTGAGAATAAGACCTAGATGTTCCTTATGAGTCAAATATCCTTGGTAAATTTGCATGGTAAATTTCCAGCTAGAGAGAATTATGTGAGTAATGTTTAAAATGAAATTTCATTAAAAGTCTCTGGGATGCTGAATGACGATACAGGAAAACCAAGTTTTATCTTTCTTCCAAGTGAGATCAGGAACAAACAGAGATAGGCATTTATCCAGGCACATGAACCACACCTTAGGACAACCCACAAAATGCCATTTCCTTACCGCTCAAGAAGAAGGTAAACTGTAAAAAACAGAGATCTCCAGGCTTTTGTGTTCTGGCCCTATCTTTAAGGCACCCAGACACCCTCCTGGAAGAAGTACATTTTTCATGAGTTTTCTTAGGCCCACCTGATAAAAATTAAATGCTTTTTTTTTTTTTTTCTTTCACGGAGCAGGTTTTTATTGGTGTCCTGATCTTATTGTTCACCAAAATGTCACAAGAAAAAAACTGTTCATAAAGCCATCTCTTTCTTTTGCTTCAGAGTGTGATTGGCTGCCAGGATGCATGAGGGGAAGTTTGTGGGGATGGCATGTATCTAATAACAGCATTTTAAATACATCCTTATTTTATGGGTTGTGTTTGGAAACTACTTCCTTACACTGCAGATTTTATTAGTACTTAAAAATAAACTTGAATTTCCCTGCTTCTTGGGCAAATAAAAAGTGGAATCTTAATTTAGTCTGATTCCCTTTATATTGTAGGTAAAATTTGAACTGATTATTTTAATTTCGCCTGATCAGAACATAAAACAGTTCTCCCTACCACATATGAATCTCCTCTTCGGTTCTTGTTTAGAGGAGGATGGACAGTCCTCCACCACAGAGACTGAGAGGCTGCTCTGATTGGGGTAAACTATTGGTAGGTTCTCTCAGAGGATCCATTTTCATGGTCTAGAAATAAAAGAGGATCAGTAACTTGACTGATGCCTTCTACTTTTGAAAGCAGAGGGCTTGATAACTTGCCTTCTAAGTATCGGCAAGAAGAAAACAGTTGTATGAGTTTCCTGTTGTTGCTGTAGCAAATGACCACAAACTTGGTGACTTAAAACAATACAAATTTATTTTCTTACAGTTCTGGAGGTCAGAAGTCCAAAATTAGTCTTATTGCATTAAAGTCAGGATGGCAGCAGGGCCATGCTCTCTGGGAGAATCTGTTTCCTTGCCTTTTCCAGCCCTTGGGAGTTGCATTCCTTGGCTCATGGCCCCTTCCTCCTTCTTCCAAGACACTGGCTAGCATCTTTTTTCTCGACTCAGCTTCCCTCTGCTTCTGTTACACAGCCTTTCTGTCTTCTGTGACCAGATCTCTACTGCCTTCTTCTTATGAGAACACTTGTGATTATGTTCTGGGCCCACCTGGATAATCCAGGCTAGTATCACTATCTTGAGCTCCTTAATTTAATGGCATCTCCAAAGTCTCTTTTTGCCATATAAAATAATATTCCCAAGTTCTAGGGTATAGGATCTGAATATATGGCGAACCCCTATTAAGTCTACCACAACAATTGTTGAGCTTTTTCTAAAAATGGGCCAGAGTCATGTATTGAGAGAGGGAGCCGACTATTTTTTTGCTTTTGCAAAAATTTATGGTATAGAAACAATCGTTTCAATAGGAGAAGTAAGGAATTCCTGAATCACAAAAACATGGTTGTTCCTCCTGTAGGAGTTTAGGAAATAAAGGTGTTTTTATAGTTATTAGTGAATTGCCATGAAAACTAAGGTCGAGCTTTGAGGCATGCCAACATCTCTATTTTACATATCAGGAATCTGAGGGACGGTGACATTATATAACTTGCCTATAATCACACAAGGAGTAAGTGGCGAAATCTGGATTTAAACTCAGAGCCTGTGTTTGACCTACTAGACCAGAGTGAAGAGTAGAGGGTGAGCTGAGGGGCAAGGTGACAAATGATGCTAAGGAGAGATGGGTATAGGTATAGGTGGGAAATGGTGTTGGCTTCTCAAGTCAGAGTCATAATCTCCTAGAGTTAGAAGGCAACTAGACTTTCTAGATTTCATGAGGTGGTACCTTGCAATCCGGTATGCTGGGCACCTAGGATCCAACCTACGTTAGTTTTTTGTTATTATTGTTACAAATAGCAGTCTGCCTAAAGAAGAGCTGTGGAACACAAGGCTCATGTCTGCTAAAAGACAGAAGTCAGATGAGGGCCTGACACCCCCTCCATTCTTGCCTGCTCCAGATCTCCTTCCTTCAGTTCCTTTCTGCTCACATCATCGTCCCCTCATTCTGCTCTGGTCCACCTGCTGACTTGTTTAAATCTTCCTCTTTCATTTTATTTTCTTTTGACACAACCTTATATCATGCTGTTACTCAATTTCCCTCCTTCAAGTTACCACCACATTTCTTGAAGGAGTAATTCAGTCTTGCCAAATTGGCTTCATGCCCACTCCTTCCTCCTCCCCCTATAGTCAGGGTTTGCCTTCCATGGCTCCTCTAGACCTGCTCTCATAGGTCACCAGGGTCTTCCTAGTGGCCAAGTCTACTGGCCCATTTTCAGTTCTTCTTCTCAGGGACCTCTTTGCAGTTTGTGAGACCACTGATTACTCTCTACTTTTTGGATTCCCCATTTTTGTGTTCTCTTCCTGAGTCTTTTCTTCATTCCTTTTCCATTGGTTCGATGTTAGAATATTGATGGTTCTGTCTCTGGTCCTTACCTCTTATTTCTGCATAACTTCTCCTTGTATCTCTCATCTCCTCCCGTTGTCTCAGCCAGCCGGACTGTGGGGGAGACCTCCCAATCCAAACCTGCAGCCTGAACTCTTCCTTCTAACAGCTTCCCTGCCATCTCCTTCTGGATGTGACCTGCAGAACTGCAAACTTACCATCTCAAAACTGAACTCGGTGTCTTCTCTTCTAAATTTGTTTTATATCTTCTGTTACTTGTCTTGTTTTATTTGGACCCCATCTACCTAACATAGCACACCAAGAATGGTGGAGTCACCTCCTCGCTCTTTATTTTTACATCTAATGGTCATTACATCCTGTGTCTTTGACATCCTTTTTACCGCCTCCTTAACTGAGGCCTTTATTCTTGACCACTCGGTTATAATAATCTAACTTGTCTCTCTCTCACCAGTCCTCTTCAATGTCTGTGCTGCTCTAAATTGGTCTGTAATCAGTCAGTGCCAAGAATGTTTTTGTCCTTCACCAAGTCCTTCTAAGTCTTCCAGGCCCAGCCAGAATGGTGAACCCGTCTCTGTGGAGGCGGAAGTCGCTGTCTGCCATTCCACCTGTGCTGTACTCAGTTCCTGCTCCTGGTCTGAACCCCCAGTGGCTTGTAGCTCTTCAAGGGCCTTGTCTTGTATCCTCAGAGCCTGGCACAGGACCTGGCTCCCAGGAAGTGTTCATGAAGGTCTGGTGGATGAATCGTGGAAGCCGTGACTAGAAGATGGAGGGATGAACCAATGAAGCTACAGCAGGACGGTTTTCAAAATGGGTGAGAGACACTTTCCTATGTCATATTTTCTTTTTTTCTCACAGTTTGGGCTTTTGGGCTCATTGACCCAGACCATTCCTTTCAGTACAGGGAGGAGAGAAACTTTGGGAGAATAATGTAAAATAATTAAATTAGGAGTCCTTAATTAATAATTTCATCTCCTGGCATGGGGTTAACCTTTCACCCACTGGTTCTCAAACAAAATTTTCAGAAAGCCTCATTCATACTTTGTAAATTGGAGCAAACATTTTTACTTGGCCTTTCAGTAATTCACAGGTGGCTTGGGCTGCATTTATATCTTTCATAGGATAGGTAATTTTAGGTAGGAAACTTCTGAGGCATTTTTGAGTACAGACTGAGGTCCCCTATTAGAAACCCCATGTATGTTATGAAAAAAAGGAGGCAGCTGTCAAGAAGAAAGGAAACTAACATTTACTGAGCCCCAAATACTTGGCGAGCACTCTGCTAAGTGCTTTCACAAACATCTCACATCTCGAAAAAACTTCGCCTGGAAGGCAAGAGGAGACTGAGATGTGCACCGAGGGCCTCTGCCTTCAAATCAATATTTTGTAAATATTTAGTCACATTTATATGAAGACTAGGCTGGGCACTGCCTGTGGGAAGAACTGAAAAAGAGGATGTTGCACAAGCTCAGCATCCTCCTTATTGTTCGTGGCAATTCACTCTCCTTCGGAAAAGCAAAGCAAAACCCTGCATTATTGGCACCCTCCCTCCTTTGAAGGAAGTTTATGCCCAGTTATTATAACTCATGGACATCTCCTGTGATCTTACCCCACCTTCCCACACCAAGTGAAACTGTTTTAGTTAGAACACAGATGAAGCTAGGGCCACAGAGACTGCAAGTAACAAGTTTGCCACATAAAAGTTGAGCATGTAAGCAGTCCAGGGCTGGTATGGTATCCCCACAGTGTTAGGGGTTCAGACTCCCTCTAGCTTGTTGCTGTGCCATTCCTACGGCAGGATGTTCATATTCATGGTCCAGGATGGCTTCCTACCATATCCACGCTCCATCCATTGGGAAGGAGAAAAAGGGACGGGGGAGGGAGAGGCCACTTCTCTTCTTTTTTATGGGCATGATTTGGAGGCTCTGCTTAGACCCCATTGGCCCAAACCTAGTCATCTGACTACTTTAAGAGGCTGCAGCCTTCTCAGCTTGGATATTAGACATCAACTATTCCCTGCCGTAAGTTTGTCAAATAATGTACTCCAATTATATGTGGTAGTCTTCATGGGAGGAGTTCTGTACCCACGTTTCTCCTTCTCTCCATATTTTCAGACTGTTGCAAACGTCAGGGAGATCCAGGGTCCTTTTTAGATTGTAGCAGCCTTTGGCCACTGCCCTGAAAGCCCACTGCTTTGGCAGACTCAGCTGTAGGTGGTGTGTATCCAGCTCAAGGATGAGGTCAGAGAGCCTTAGTGAGTTTGTTATTTTTCTGGGTTTTCCCCAGTTCTCCCTTACCTTCAAACCCTAGCGAGACAGATCTTAGCCACTTAAGAGAAGCTTTCAGACTCTGAGCATAGATAGCTCCTCCAGTCACACACTAATACGGCATTTATGTGTAAGGACTTGTTCCTGGATTGTTCTTACAGGAGAACTTTCTGGAAGCTAATGGAAATTAGGACACTCTTTCTGTTGCCACTGGTTAATTTTAAATGTTTAAAAATTATTTTTTGTTAGCATTCAGTCTCAATTCTCTTTCCGCCTTTTCTCCATATCGATGTCTACAAAAAAGTTCTCTGTTGGGAAGCTCTCAAGTCATTGTATGGTGAAGTGATTGAAGAAACAACTGTGTAGCCACAGCAGGTGTCAGTTCCTGGGGGCCCCTGTCACCCTGCCCGGCAGCTCCCGTTCGGCAGCAGAGGCATTAAGAGCAGACTCCACAGAAGCCAGTACGGCCAAGCATTTTCAAAGGCAAGGGCAGCCGCGTTTGCCCGTTTTTTCCTCTCTTTGTTCTGGTCTTTGTTTCTTCCTTCCCCCTTCTTCATCTTTTCCTGGAGGGCTTTCTCAAGCTTGCATTTTCTGAACCATCTGAAACAGCTGTCTTCCGTGCTGGCTCTGTTCTAAGTGCTCTACCTCTCTTGGCCTGTAAGAGAAGACCTCTGATACTCCCACTCTCTAGGACAGGGCATCGAGGCACAGAGATGGTAAGAAACCAGTCCGAGACTGCACACTTGGCCATGGCTGCGTGAGCCAACGTCGCTTGCCTATGGCCGCACAGGCAGCAGAACTGGGATTCAAGCCTGGGTCTTTGGTTGCAGACCTCCAGCTCTTCTGATCCACCATGCTTCCTGCGAAATATGGTCCTTACAATTAGGGGGGCCACCAAATGGGGGCACGCGGCTCCTGTCTGTGACTTGTGTCTCTTGTAGAAACCCCCCCGCCCCCAGGTGGGAAACACTGACTTAATCTCAGCGGAGCATATCAGCAGCTGTGGTGCATATGCTGTGACAGAAGGCACCAGAGAAGCACTACCTATATTTCATACCCTCGTTCGAGTCTCCACTCTCCCATTCACCTGCCAGCACAAGCAGAGTGGTTTTCTTTTGCACGAGGATAATCTGAAATTCTACTTTTGCGTCAGAAAACTAAGAGGTTCATATATCCTGCCTGGAAGGGAATGTTTTTCAGCCTCAGAGCCTATAAAAATATTGTGGCACGAACGGTTCAGCTGAAACAACAGAATGCTGGGAAAATGAGTCTGCAAAATGTACTTGAAATATTAGTCATCAACGTGGTATAAAACACCATTTCTCCCACAGAAGGAGGCCTTGCCTGGGAGCTAAGTGCACTTTTGCCTGCAGGATCAGGTGGGGATTGTAGGTTTATGCTTTGTAAACTCTTAATCTACTCAAACCCATCTACTAATATGAAGATTAAAGACTAGGGAATACATCTCATTCCTCTGAGCTTCCTGATATTTCTTCAAAGGTGATAGAAAACAGAAGTATCCTTGTACTAGAAAGACATGGGAATATATATATATAATAAAAATTGTATATAAGTATTATATAAAATTTATACATACATATTTTATATTATATAGAAATATATAATAAAATTTGTATTTATAGCATAAATTATATTGGCCAAAGGCAGATTCTTCACCAACTGAGCCACCCAGGCGCCCCTATATTATATGTTTATGTATAATATAATTTATATTATATAAATATAATATAAATATATTATATTTATATTATAAATATAAATTACTATAATGATCCCAGGGTCCTAGGGTCAAATCTCATGTCGGGCACCCTGCTCAGCAGGGAGCCTGCTTCTCCCTCTGCCCGCCGCTCCCCCTGCTTGTGCTCTCTCTCTCTCTGTCAAATAAATAAAATCTTAAAAAAGTAAACATAATATCATGCATAAATTATATTGTATATATAATTATATATTTTTATAAATTTTTATACATTTTATAAATATAAGTACATATAATGTACTCTATATATACATATAAGTGCCGGTGGTACAAAGGTTTGTTTTTAAATTAACCTAAACAATAGGTTCTGCAATGAATTTTTGTTTCAACAAAGACTTAAGACTAAAAATGTCAGTAAAAGGATAAATACAAAAAGGTATTGAAACGTGCTGAGGACGTTAGTTTGGGCGTCTTGTGGAGATGTGGACTGGGGGGTGGGATGTGGCTTTCATTAAAAATGATGATTAAAAAAATATTTTTTCCTTAAAATCCCCTCGAGGGCTTCTGCAGAATTTCAGCCCAAGTTGCCAAAGATTTTTGTTATCAGGGAGGCTTCTCATCCTAATCTGCTTAGGCAGTAGCTCTACATTCCATGCCTGCATTTTGGGCAGGCGAGTTCAGGTTTTCTCCAGCATTGGGCTACCCGTGAACTCTCCTCCCATGCCTTCCATGGGAGTGACTGTGTGCCTGCCTGGCGGGATGACCGATGGGCAGGGCCCTAAGCAGCTGGGGCGCCTCTCCCCCAGCCCGCTCCCAGCCGGCCCTGCACCCCCAGCAGTCGCTCTGGCAGGGGGCTGAGTCCCCTGACGGCTGCAGCTCAACCTGAAAACATTTGATCGTGGTGGATTCAGAGACCTTGAGTGAGCGGATGGCGCTGGATCTTTAAATGCATTCTAAACACAGGGGATGGATGCTCTGCTTTAATTAGCAGCCTCATTGATCCTTGAACTTCCCCACGTGTTCTGCCATGGTGGGTACACACCCTTTAAGTATAGGGCTCCTTTGAAAGAGCCACTTGTCAGCACAGCACATTTTCTGGAGGCCAGCAGGTTGGCCATTCGTCAAGGTGCCAGTATTTGTTGACTGCTGGTAATAGATTTCTGTGTTTGTTTTATGAAGATTTTCATTCTCAGACTTCGAAGGACTTTGGCAACGCTTAAGTGCAGGCAGCTCAGAGTGAGACCTGAACTTAGGAGCAGCAGTCCAGCCCGTGGTGCCCACAGACAGCTTGCTCCCTCCCTGGGTTGGTGGTTCCCGAAATCCCTAGAGAACTGGTTTGCTTGGCTGAGCTAGAAGCCGTTCTGTCTGGCTCTCAGAGATACCCTGGTAAAATGTGCGTGGCATTATTTCAGGAGTCCTGGGGGGCCTGAGGCTTACTAGAATTCCGGGGTGGGGGGGAGGATATTTCCACAGAGGTCCCAGAGGTGCTGGGGCCAAAATCATATCCAATGCTTGGAGGCTTTTTGAGATTCTGATCTAAGACTTTATGGCTAGAAGGTGGTACTGGGGCATCTCAGTGCAAGCCTGGTTTTGTGGAATGAGCACTGGATTGGGAGTCCTCAGGAAGCAGGAGTGTGGTACTTGCTTGGCATCTACCTGGATGCATGGCCTTGGCTGTGTCGTTCTCTGGGTAGCTGTAAAATGCAGCAGATGGAAGGGTTTCTTAGAGTAGCCAGTTTGGAGAAGTGGAAACGGGGGGCCACTGGTGAGGCAGATTTGCCCATATCCAGCAGCAAACCGGCAGAAGCCCCATTAGCTGTGCTGTCCCCACACTCCAGAGAGCATCGGAAGGGACTTGCATGAGCATGGCAAGCAGGAGAGACCTCATGGAGTGTGACAAATGAAAAATTTTAAAACGACATTTACTTTTACAAGTCAGACATTTAAGTGGGTCCTTTTTATGGAGCATTTTCAATTTTTATATCACCTAAGAGACTTTTGCATTTCTTACAATTCTTCTGCACATTAAAAATGAATTATAGCCTCATCCATTTTTAGAAAAGAATTTTGAGGAATTTGTAAAACAGACAAAGTCCGCATGTGCCCTGAGACCGTCCAATAATCTGAATGAGTTTCCCCTCATGATTGATAGACTCGTACTAGTGATTGAGGAAAAGAATTAAACGTCAAAATTTTAGTATGAACCTAGTGTTTGGCATCATTTGTAAATATTTTTACTGTCTCTCCCACTGTTTAATGTGTTTCTTAATGTTTCTTTGGGGAGATCATGTGGACAGAAATCAGCAAACAATGGGGCCAGTGTTCTGAGCCCGGAGTGCCGGGCCCCCGTTGTGATGTGTCCTAGGACTGTGGCCACCAGGGTTTTAAGCCAGGCTCAGAGCTGACTGGTTTGCAAGTACGAACTCATTTAATTCTCACAACAGTACTGCGAAGAAGCACTGTTTTATCTTCTGCATTTTAGAAGGATGCTCTGAAAGGTCGAAGAATGTACAAAGGTGTTGGGTTATGAACGCAGGCATTCTGGCCCGGAGGCCTTGCTGGGTACCGCGGTGCTATCTTGCCGCCTGGTGGCCCCCAGGCTGGCCTTGGCCTTCCCCTCTGGTCTTTATTACATAGCATTATGACTGATATCTCAGCAGGCTCGGAAACGACCCTATTTAAGTGTAAGTTTCTTGAGAAGAGGACCCAGGTTTGGTTTTACATCTAACAGGTACTAATTTTATTCTTGCTGGATGAGTGGATTGAATTGAATGATCTGCATTCTGCACTCCAGAGAAGAATTGGAGGCCAACTTTTTCCCAGAGTATGTAGCACTAATGTGGGCTGTGCCGTGCTCCTGTGGCCCTTTGGAGAGCATCGGATTCCAGAATTTGGTCAGCGTGCAGCTAACCTGGACAATAGCGATGGGCAGGGTAAGGAGAACAGTCTTTATTCTGGGTTTACGTGGCTTGGGATATTGTTGCCCGTGGCTCCGGCGACCAGTGCTTAATCCAGTGGTGGAGCCTTCCCCCGGCACCGTTGGATGCCTTGCTTGGGCATGCACAGATTAGAGAGCTGCAGGAAGATGGGAACCAGGCCTCCGAGGAGTCTGGGAAGCACCGGAACAGGGGAAGCTACAGGGAGTGTTTACCTCAGAAAGAGAAGCTTTCACCTACATCGGTAATGTTGTAATTCACACAGTCTTTTATGCATGAGGAAGTTAATTTGTGGATATTTTGGTTCAGAAAATTAATTTTCCTGGTTTTCCATGGCATATGTGAAATTTAGGACACAGTGCCCTGATCACAGTTATTTTAGGAAGTTAAAAAGAGAATACTATAAATACTGTACTCTACCAGTTCTCTAGAATAGGGGCAGGAATTTGATTCTCTCATTCACGGCTATTTTCCCAGCACTTAGAACAGCACCAGACATTGTTCAGGGGCTGGGAAATACTTGTCGAATGACTGGGAATGAATGAAACGTGGAGGTTCCTGAAAACCCCTGCAGGCTCCTGGCAGAGCTCCCCACTTTCCCTTGTGAGGCCTTATTTGAGTGATTTTCAACCTCCAAACAATCTGATCTTATATAAAACTTGAATATATAAATAAAAATGTTTTTAATGACTAAGTCCCAGGATGTAGCCTTCCCTTGTTTTACAGCTAGTTGATAACTCTGAAGGTGTTGTGTGACCGACAGTCTGAAAGTCAGGACTCTGGGTGACGGCTGCAGTCCTATAGCTGCCTCGAGTCCCATCTCTTTCTGTCTTCTCTTTTGCTTGTCCGATATGGTAGCAAGAAAATACTGGTTCACATAAGAGTAGTTCGCCTCGCAACCCCTGGACACTCCTCAATGGAACTGATTCAGAAGCTTGCAAGGACTAGGAGAAAATGTTTCAAAGTTGAATCATTAACCATACGATATCTATTTGCTCACGAACCTCATCATTAGCTTGTCATATGAGAAGGGCTGCAAAGTTTATGCAAATGCTAAGGGTATCTATGAGATGGATGAGTGATGGGCATTCATTTGTCACTGACCCCACATGTCAGTTTGCCAGAAAGGGAAGGTGCCATGTGGGTTTGCCTGATCTTTGCCGTGGGTAGTATCCTGAGAAAGCTGCTCAAACCCAAATGCTCTCCCATGCTTGCAGAACCTTGGAACTCCAAAGAACTTTGAGGGTAGGAGGGAAGAAGGTAGTTAGGTAGCAAAAAAAGCCACATTAATGAATGGGACCTGGTCTGAATTAGGTTTTCAGTCATTTATCCATTTGTTCATTTGTTCATTCCCAAGTATCTGTTGAGCATCTACTGTAAATAAAGGGCTACTCTCATGAAAAAGGTTAACATCTAGCTGCTGTAGATATAAAAATCTCTATTAGGGAAAATGGGGAACTCAAGAGTAGGATAATGTAGTTCAGATTACTTGGAGGGGGTACAGGGACAATATTGGTATGAGGTGGAGGTGGTTAGTGAAGGTTTTTCTAGTTGCCAGTTCTTTGAATTGCTTTAAAATATTAAAATAGTTAGGAATATGCTTGGTGTTCATCACCTAGCACTACCCCCACCCCCACCCCGCCAACATTATACAGATTCACTGTTTTTCAGAATGGATTTAGTTTTATAAACTCTGAGAAGTCAGGAACAACATCAAAGAAGAACATTCCTGGACTGAGAGGTTTTGGGTTGGCCCTAACTGCATGCCATCCAGGAGAGTGACTCAACTTATTGTAGGTCAAACTGGAAACCTAAGTTAGGTCAGTTGAAAAATTTACACACATTATGAGTGCTTTGAGTTATGGCGCACACTTTATTTTACCCAATAACTGCAGGTCTATTTGAATTGGAATCAGCTGCCAAGTAAATATTTAAAGTTGAATGGTTGTTGCCAAGGAAGCTCATAATCCCTGAACGGTAATGTTGCTTTTATTTCTACTCCCCAAGTCTGGAGAACACAAAAGTACTTGGGAAAGAAGAAACGTATTTCAAAACAGAATAAATTGTTTGTTTATAGACTGAAGACCATTGCATTTGAGGATGCTGTGATTTTGACACAGGAAAGAAAACACTGTAATTTCTTTCGGTTCTACCCACCTACATTTCCTTCCCAGGCTACGGTGGTTATCATGGTGGCTCAGAGGATCATGACTTCCAGGAGACAGAAGAGAATTAACAATCACTTAATTATTAATCCCTGTAAATGGAACTGAAGACTAAAAAATGTAAAGGATGAGAAGCCAGCAGGCTGGCGGAAAGGGAAGGAAGGAGAACTGTGAGAACTGCTTTGGCGTTAACCCTTTAATTAAGCAACTCCTTTGACCTCACTCTTGACTGTCTCTCTGCTGGGCTCTCCTGGTACTTCTTCAGGGAGGAGGAGAGATGGAGAGGTCAAACTTGGTCATGGGAGGGGGCTGTGGTTTCCTGGTCCAGCTGGAGGCCCAATTCACATGTGAGGTACAAGGTCAAGTCAGGTCAATAGGAACCAGCCTAGGCAAGCAGCAGCTGCTCTATTGCTTTGAGTGCTTTTCAATTTGGAAGAGCCGAGAAGAGCAGCTTCTCTCTGATTCATTGCTTTCCCAGGCTTATGAATTTCAGAACCTCTTGTACTTTCTCCCTTGCTTTCCAAACACGGACTTGTTTCAGGCTTCCCTGCACACAGATTGCAGTGATGTGGGCAAACAATTTTGACAAGATATGCAGCTTTGAGGAAAAGCACTTCAAGCTTACAAGGACATGCACCATTGTTGGTCTCTTTGCAGCAGTGGTGGTAGGAGCTCTGGCATTAAGCACCTGGCAGGCACCCCCAGGTCTGGAGGCCCTCCGGCGGGCGCAGTGGGCTCCAGGACGTCAGTGGGCA